TCAAAATCTCACCTGAGACGCCATGTTGAAGACAAGATGCAGACAGTTTTTGCAGGTACAGATGAACGTCAAACCGTAAGTAATGGCGTGTGTGTATTCTGTGTGCGTGGAAAATCTCGAAAACTATGGGCATGGGTTTCGAGAACTGACTACAACATATGATCACAATGATAAAATAATATACAATATACAAATATGGCGATAATTCAAGCTTGAAATATTGAAGCTATATACTTAACAGTTATTCTACGAACTCGAGTTGAATATGAGCTGAGCTCATATTCGACGAGAGTGAGTGGAATAACTGTTTTATTATATACACAAGGTCTGAATTCACAGACTTTGCTTTTCGGATATTTTCAATATATTTCTATTTTGATTTTTGTTTATATGTTTTTATCTTCGCTCTTTCAGCCGATTAATTTTTCAAAAATATATATTTTTAAGGTGGCTCGTTATAGTTATCACAAGAACCCTGCTCAAGAATCGCGAACTCAAAACCGGGTGACCATTTTTACGCGCAAGTCGCGGAAACTGATTAACAAAATGAAAGAACTTCCAAAACGACCTGACGTGAGCAGTTGCTCGCGCCATATCACGCCATTGCGCGTGTTCTATAGCGTTTTATATCAATTGCTGACGTCATTAGAATTTTCCATTTTAGAAAAACAATGCGCTATATCTCTTTATTTTGTCTGGTGACCTATGTTCAAATTTTGCATGCTGCATTGCACCGCTAAAAACTTTCGTTATACAAAAAATAAAAAAATTCTGTAATGCCAAAAAAAATTTCCCGAAGAATATGACATTTTCGCATTTTCCCAAAAAATGGCATTACAGAATTTTTTTATATTTTGTTAATTGTTAGCTTTTCGTCCAAGTAAAATAATGCACGAAAAAAAATTGGGGGTCACCGTGCTTCTTTTCCAACTATACGAGGCGATAGACCATTTTGGAGTGAATTTCGTACACGTATGTCGTCATAGCAACGAACTATCTGTTACTAAAACTAATAAAATTTGAAAGTAGAGTTATCAAAATATATAAAAACTCCAATATCTGCTGAATAAATCCTAAAAATGCGTAGTTTGAACATGTCAAAATGTTAAACACCTGAATTTTTGAAAACTGTATCGAGCCACCTTAACCATTTTAAATTTTAAAAATTCATTTGCTAACCTGTAAACAATTTGTGGGAGTTTTTTCATTGTGTTTTTAATCCTGTGAAGGCTATAAAAAGTGAACAACTTGCCGTTTTCTCGTTCGCAAAACGTCGGAAATTCAGTTTGAGCCGCCATTTTGTTTTTCTCTACTAGCAGGATATGAGCTAATATCCTGCTAGTAGAGAACCAATCAGATTGCAGAATACTTCATATCCTGACCTTGTGTATATAATAAAATATATTATACCTTAGAATAAGGCGCGTCAATCTCAATATCTTACAATAAGGCGCGTCTCATGCAGTGTCATCATTGATCAAACAAGTTTTCAATTGTACTGGGCTTGTCATGCAAAATTACAACATTATTGGCCTACTTATGGATTGTAACACACAAGCATAACATTTTGCGCTCACGTCTTCTTTAAGCCTATGAGACCCAGCACTGGGAGGCGAGGCCCAGTCTAATAGCATTAAACTCATTGTGAATTTTGTTTGCATAATGCATAAATGATAATACTTTTTTCCAAATTTGACTGCAACAAGATCGATTCGGTTTCATAGCATCGAAAACAATAGAAGTGCCTTAATTGCCCCATAACATACAATAAATTATACCCTATTCGAGTTATCGTTCCTCACAGTAAAACATTATCCAAATTCGACTGCAAAATTATCTGTTTGCAAGCCTCAAAAACAAACTTTATATTACTCGTGTCGATGGCCGTGGTAAAATGATGAAAAAGTGTTTTCGACTGGTCCATTCGTTTGCGTTCGAACATGGTGTAAAGAAATCGCTTTACGTCCGACTCGTTCCGTGGATCACCTCTGAACGATGGAAAATAAAGCTTAATGTTCGAGTGATGAATCTTAGTCTGTAATTGGTCAGTTTTGTTGAAGAACAATATCACGTGCGTGCTAGCAAATGTAAGACTGTTCACAATATCGCCGAAAAGTTCCAGGGACTCTTGGAGGCGATTTGTTTGTCGATCTTCCGCCAAAACCTCGTCGTATTCGCTTGCGGAAACGAAAAAAAGCACGGTGGTGACGTCATCGAAACATACTACCCATTTTTGACGGTAATGCCGCTGCCCACCCACATCCACAAACATGAAAGGGACTCGGGATACTTCTGTGTGGTATTCTGTGATCCCACGCGAGATTTTTCGCGAGCGTAACACGTCTTCTTTTGTCGGAAGGTAGTCCTAGGGAAAATGACGTGTTAGTTTCATGGTATGGTATGGTATGGTATGGTATGGTATGGTATGGTACAGTATGGCATAGTATGGTGTGGTATGGTACAGTATGACATGGTGTGTTGTAGTATGCATGGTATGGCATGGTTTGGTATGGTATGGTATGGTATGGTATGGTATGGTATGGCATGGTATGTTATGCTATTGCTAAGGTATGGTATGGTATGGTATGGTAGAGCTGGGCGCCGGATTGCTGGAGCCGGACCCGGAGCTCCGGCATATTTTGCCGGAGCCGGAGTTGGAAAACTCCGGCAAAAACTCCGGCAGACAAAATTAGGAAAAATTATTTCATATTTCAACAAACATTTGGCATTAAATGGGAAAATTAAGTTGTTGTTTACTAATATATTACTATTTATATGTTGTTTTACTATATATTACTATGTGGTTTACTATTAATAGTGTTTTAAAAAGGTTTTAAAAAAAGATAAATTCTGAAATTACACTGAAATACTTTCGCCTGCTTCCACTTTTAAATATGGAATTTCCTTAAAAATTTCTTGCCGGACCCGGAGCCGGAGTTTTGACTGCCGGAGCCGGAGCTAAAATAACCGGAGTTTGCGCAGCTCTATGGTATGGTATGGTATGGTATGGTATGGTATGGTATGGCATAGTATGGTGTGGTATGGTACAGTATGACATGGTATGTTGTAGTATGGTATGGTATGGCATGGTTTGGTATGGTGTGGTATGGCATGGTATGTTATGCTAAGGTATGGTATGGTATGGTATGGTATGGGGTATGGTATGGTATAGTATGGTACAGTATGGTGTGACATAGTATGGTATGGCATTCATGTTATGATGTTGCGTGGTATGGTATAGTATGGTATACTATAGGCTATGGTGTTATGTGGTTTCCTATGATGGTATTGGTATGGTGTGATGTGTTTTCGTATGGTATGGTGTTGTATGGTATGGTGTTATCTGGTTTCTTTGGTATGGCATTGGTATGGTATATGGTGTTCAAAATCAATCAATCACTTACCTCATGTTTGATCTCACTCAGTCTTTCCATGAAATACTTGGTGGAATCTGGCTGGGAAAATAATACAACATTCCATTGTGAAAAAAACGATCGAGAAAATTTTGGCAACAATACAGCCAGTCTACTTCCAGGAAGTCGTTGCTATTGAGTTTCAGGAAATACGACTAAAGTTGACGCAAATGTCTGCAAATCTTATTAAAGCTCATTAAAAAAGCTCTCGAAATATGTGGGAGTGTTTTTCTGAAACCAGAGACTAAGTTAATTAGTGAAGCCGAAAAGGCAAGCTTAAAGTACAGTGAGGACAAATACTGGTGGCACAATGTTTAGCAGAAGTCTCTTCACCCCTATGACCCGGATTTAGAACATGCAATGTAACATGTTGTCCACAAGATAGTTTAGAACTGACAGAGCTATCCAGTATCAGTTATGTAAAAGTCGATGCAAATATTGCGTGCCAGAATACACGCTTCGATTGGCCTTCA